GGATGGGAATTGGACTAAGTAATTTGCTAAGTGAGGTTCAACTGGTAGGGGGACCTCCGTATCTTCAAGCCAGACTGCGGGTTTGTTGACTCAAAGGGACTTCAGGCTAAGCATTCCAGTAGACCAAGAATATACTGTGTGTCCAACGGAGTGTGTATGTGTGCAAAGGAAGCACGGGGATAATGACATCAGGACGATGATCTCTCTCTCCCCCTTCTCCTTAATTTTATACCGTTAATTGCAATCATTTGATTGCTGCAAAAATGCAGGTCCCTCTGTGGCCATAAACTGTAATGAATCTGCTGGCTTCGGATGAGAAGGGCAGTAATTAAATGGATGAGGAACTAAAAGAATCTCAGGACATAAGCATTTTACACAGCTACAGATATACCTAACCATTGATTTCCAAGCGAAAGAGCAGATTTGCTGCAATTTATTTTCAGGCTCATTTTACCATGCTCTCCCTCTGAGGGAGCCTTCCTCAGCTTAGCATGGCTCTAGACGATGAGGATTCCAACTCTCATCATCCATGCCCTAACATTCGATACAACCTAACTCAGTGATTCCTGAGCTTTCACATTTTAAGTCCCATTACAGTATCTCTTTAATAATCGGGATGTTAACAGAGATAGAAGCAAATAATTCTGTCTTCCTGTGGAGGAGATATACCGCACGATGTGCTTACATCATTTTATTTCTATTGTTACTTCATTTTATTTCATGTTATTTTTGTCATTTTGTCAACAGTATTACTGAAATTGTAAACTGGTGAACATTAGCAAGCAGCAAATAGGGAACGTTTCTCCTCTAATCAAAAACCCAAATAATGAGAGCTTTTATATCATTGGGTCCCAAGCCAAATTCTCTCACATGCCCCACACTCTGTTGAGGCATTCCATTCTTTTCCTTCGGTGCTTTCGCTTGAAAACTTCATTTTCCTCTGTCTCTCCCATTCTTTCCTGATCCTCTTTCCAATCTGGAAAAAAGAGCCAGGTCTCATCATGTGAAAATGAGTATGCTGCAAGTAACAAGCAACGGTGCAATATAACATCTCTAAAAATATATATATGTCCTGCAAAGGGTCTTGCATTAGCAGCCCTGTGAAGTTCGGTTGGTATCATGGAGTGTCAGGCAAACTGATTCATCAGAGGGTTACTAATAATTTTTTGTGGCAAGGCTACTCTTCTTTTAACAGGTGCATGATTGGAGGTAAAATGTTTCCCATCGTGTCACTGCCTACCAGGTGAAACTGTATTTGCTGCATTTCCCATCATCAGCCAGCTATTAAAGCATAATAACCCTGCCATAAAAATTCAGCAACGTAGGAGTTGGTGTTCTGACACTTAAAAATGCTCTGTCTGGAGTATCTTGCCCTGACAAAAGTAATTACCATCTCTAGTTAAGATAACATGTTATTTCAGGTTTTTTCTTTTTTAAAAAAAGCGAGAAGATACAATTATTTTCCTGAATAAACCTTCTTTGTTTAAGAGAACATACTTTATCACGGCATATTTGAAAGGCAAGTGTACCCTTAAATCATTCTGTATTGCACAAAAGAGGCATATCGGGTGTTCGTGAATGGGCAAGACCTCTGGTGGAGTGCCCTGCAACTTTGTAGATCCACTTATTCACCTTTGGTTCAGTAGTGGGTTCCTACTGGTTCGGACCGGTTCGGCTGAACCAGTAATGGTATGGCGGCTTGGGTCACTGGAACCGGCAGCGACCCAGGCCTGCCACATCCCTGAACTTGTTTCCTGGATCCCTTCTGCCGTCGCCGGCATGTTTCTGCAAATGTGCCGTAACACGTGGTGGGTGGGCGCGTGAATGAAGCCAGCATGGTGTGCGCAAAACGCCCTCTCAGCAAACCAGTAGTAAACCGGTGAGGAACCCACCACTGCTTTGGTTCCCACCTGGCACTCAGCTCTCACCTGTGATTCCAATACTGTAGTGGCCACACCCTGGCAAACCATCTCAGCAGATGGGCCATACCAGGTGAGGGCAGCCAATGAGTCTTCAACCTCAGTGAGAGATAGACATTTTGTCTATTCCAGCGGGTAAAGACTGGCCCTGGGAGATTGAGTGGAGGAGACTGATC